TGTTTTTTTCATGAAAATTTTAAGTTCAAGGGAGGTAATTCTGATAATTTTTGTGCTAGAGTTGTGAACCTTGTCACATATGATGTGGTTGATGACAAGCAACTTATATTTAAAGTTTGAAGAAAATACCTTAAGAAATAAAGAACTTATAGTGAAAAAACTTAAAAACTAGAATCAGAAATCTTGAAATTCAGTCTATTTGTTGCCATAGCAACCAGAATTTACAACATAGGAAGATAAGAAAAGGATGTGCATAATTTCCATACTGCCATCTACCCATATGTCAAGTTTCATAAACATATTTTCAGTACTTTTTGTGTTATCACTGGATCCAGGTTATGTGTAAAATTTGCCATATTTTCAATCTATTTGTTGCCATAGCAACCAGAATTTACAACATAGGAAGAAAAGAAAAAGACGTGCATAATCTCCATACTGCCATCTATCCATATATCAAGTTTCATAAAAATATTTTCAGTACTTTTTGCGTTATCGCGGGATCCAGGTTATGTGTAAAATTTGCCATATTTTCAGTCTATTTGTTGCCATAGCAACCAGAATTTTCAACATAGGAAGAAAAGAAAAAGACGTGCATAATCTCCATACTGCCATCTATCCATATATCAAGTTTCATTAAAATATTTTCAGTACTTTTTGCGTTATCGCGGGATCCAGTTTTGTGGACGGACTGACGGACGGACAGACGGACAGACAGACAGACGGACAGACGGACGGAGGGTAAACCTAAAGTCCCCTCCGGTAAACCGGTAGGGGACTAATAAGGCTTTCTAAATGTGAAGATACAGTCAATTGATTTATTACATAGATAATACATGTGGGGCACGCAGAGACAAATGATTACATACTGTAACATAGTAACTTATTTATATCCTTGTAACTCTAATAAAAATATCTGTTATAAATTGCTGACTGTTTTAACTTTATATTTTCTAGAAAAAGTAACCAAAAAATTATTTTCTTCACTTGATAGGATTGAACTGCATTAACAATCCAATGATATTAAGAATACAATGATTACATTTTTGGCTGGAAAACTCATTGTAAACTGACCCCCTCCACCTGTAAACTGTTTTACAAATAATTAATAATCTCTAATGTATTTTTCTCACATTTTCCATTTATTTTAAAAGGATGTACACATTTCATTAACTCTATTGTTTTTACCTAAATTACTGTAGATAAAGGTATAGATTCTGTGACATTTCAGTAAAAATGTGCCTGATAATATGTTGAAAGGGCCATTTATTTAGCTTATCTAAATATGAAATGTTAGAAACTTGACAAGGTGTAGACATCTTGTAGAGCGAAAGGGCGGAGCAATCAGTGATTTAGAGAAATGCCTTGTTTTTTGTGAAAAAATAATGGTGATCATCAAATAGGTTAATGTTTAATAATATGCATTAACAAAAATAAAAAATGCGGCAGGCTTGACCAATTATTTTTTTTAATACATATTATTAAACACTAACCTATACTTAATGTGTTATTAAAATAAATGATTTTGGAGAGATTTTTCAAAAGTTGCAAGTCACGACAAAAAGACGGTTTAGTTGATATTTTACCACAGGTGCAAAATAATTAAAAAATGACATATGCGTCAGAATAAGAAACTATTATTTGAGAGTCAAAACTCATCGATTTTAACAGCTAATATATACTGTTCAGGGTGTATGAAAAGCTAAATCACATACAAAGATAATTATAAGTGTTTACCAATGCTACAAGTCACAAAGTTATAATTACAATTCAATGGCACGGCTCCAAAATATTTCAATATAGTGACAAAAAGAAACAAACACAAAAACAAAAAAAAAAAACAACAAAAAAAAAAACAATAACTTCAAAACATCCATGTTTTATTCTATAGACTTACTATAGTTACTTCCTCTTAAATGCACCAGTTTCCCATGAACTGCCAGGAGTTGGTTGGAAGATGTATGTTTAATATTCAGACGCCTTTGTCTTTATAACATCATGGAGTGTGTGAAAATGGATGGTATTTCAACATATCTGAGATGGTTTCTTTTAACTGAAAAAAAGTATCCAATTTAAGCCGGTGCTAGGGAACTACTGGGCGGAAGCTTGCACTGACCAGTAATATTTATTAACAGGCTCAGTCAAACTGAGACTGCAGCATTTGTAATTTTGCCGTCTTGTGCGTTCATTAGTCATTCCGTTTTTCTGAATTGAGTAAAATGTTAAAATCATGCAATTTTTAATAAAATAGCAGCAATAATAATAATAATTTACTCCAAAGTACATGTATGACATTACATAGGCAAATAAATATGCGTTAATGACAAATGGAATCACGTGTTTCATATCTAAATGTTCTTGAATACCATTACAAGATAGAATTAGTCAACTGCATTATTCTTAATCGAAACGTATACAGCTGAAGAACTGTTAGAAACCGAATATGTAAAAGGCAATCAATCATGAATGCTACCATAATAATTGTGTACATGAAGTATTAATCACGAATATCAGAGAACAATTATAAACAATGACAGACTGGTGATTTCATTATGTCATCATATGAAAGATTAAAAACGTTAATTAATTAAATCACATTTGATATTGTATATTTTGTCTGGTCTTTACTTTTACATGGTTCTTGAACTACCCAAAACTTTGCTATTATCAAAGAGTTGTTAAAATTCAATTGAAACTTATTCCGTAGGTTATTATTGTACGCATATAGGCATGATGTAAGTAATATCTGTAAATTTTTAAAGTAATAACTTAAAATCTATAAACGTAAAAGTAATTCATTATAATGCCATTATTATCAAATTATATTTTCTTTGATTTATTGATTTCAGCGAAACAACATATGAAAGCTGTTACAATTATGGCGTTGTACTTGTATGGCGTATTAACCAATAAAATGACTAATCACTTAATAAAAGCCAGTCTCTCATACTTCCGGTTTTATCTTGTTAATATATATATTGGGTTGTAAGTTCTTTTATTTATGCTGCAATTGTCAATACATAGTAATAAACTTTATCGTAAACCAAACACTCAATTTGCATTTGAAAACGTTTATCATATAAGTAATAATTTTGTTCAATTTCTTAATCAATGATGCCCGATGTGTGTTATAATAGTTTCAGTTATAAAGTTCAAATATTCTTTGACATATTTGATTAAAAGAATTTATATTATAATTATAAGGTAATGTGAGGAAATACGAAAAATAAAAACAGATTAAATCCATTTTACCTATTAAATACATGATATGAACATTCTTTTACCAATTGTTGTTCACGCTTTTAAATCTCACGATCCATCGTATAATATGATATGTTTTTCAGGCATGCAATTTGAATAAAGATTGATTTCTATAGATATTATTCATGTCAATAGACCGTAGTGTATTGAGTATCAATGGCTCTTTAAGTGAGGTATAAATGCACAAAAACATGTCCTTCAATTTAAAAGATAAAATCACCATGACCACTTTGTAAATTTAGACATTCATGTAAGAAAAGAAAAATTGCAAACTTGTTTACAGCTACATTCCATTTTAAACTTTATCTTATATTTGAACATTATATCGTCTAATTTGCTCACATTGAATACTGACATGAAAAGAAAAACTATTTGTAGCGAAGAAAAGCAGAAATAGGATATCTGCACTGATGTGTTTTATCATACGTGATATCTTTAAATAGAGTATGATAAACAGCAAATCCCTGGACAGTGGAAATCGATTTATAACAGAAATTTAACAAATATAAGATTAAACTATATAACGAAAATCACCTATATTTCACTGCTGTAAATATTATATCAATCGAAGTGAATAACTTTAATATTTACAGGGTACTACTACAGAAATATGACATTTTCACATATACGTATTCTTTTGTTAGTAAATCTATAAAAAAGACATATCGTCGAAATCAATGTACATCATACTTAGCAGATTTTCTTTGTTTGCTTTATATTTTTTATTTAGTAGAAGAAATGTCATTGAAATTTCAAACTTTTCTAAAGAAGACCTGTGCCTGATAGTAAGAAAATGGCTATAGCTTTGTAGAAAGATAACACACGCTTATTGGATCTGTGCTAATAATGTTAGATAACCACAGATAAATATAGTGTGAGTTTTCAACCCATTCTCTTCAGAAGTTTTACAGATGCCCACTTTCAATAAAAACGTAAAGTTGGACATATCTAACTCCGTGCAATAGCTTTTACTATTCATCGAATATTTGACCTTCCTTAATATGATTTAGTTACAATTGACCTTTCTGGTAAACCTGGGTTCCAGTCTGCCGATTTTTTGTTATGGTTCTGTTTGGCAAATCGACGTTGATACTATCAAAACCAGAGATGTTGTGTGTTATCTATGACGATCGAGTATGAAATAGCGCGTATGTTATAAATAAGCAAAAATATCAACGCCTGAGTCCCAGGCTACTTTCTGGTGTTCATTTGCATAACTTAAAACGTACTGGAGGTACAAAATACAAATTCAATGCAAAGAAAAAAGATTAATTTTCTAAAATGATAAGTAAACATATACCTTTATTTTGTTATTTTCCTGCGTAGTACTGTGTCCTTCGGATTTATTCAGAGCATTGCATTAAGCGAATATGATGTATTAACATGAAACATTTTAAAGTATCAATTTGAAATTATTGTCATCAAGGGCTATATTAATCTCGACAGTCGCAGTCTTGTTTATATAAATTTGAAGCGGCGTTTATAAACGATTTTGTATCAGCTTTATTTTTTTAGTTCAGACGGGAACGTTCATATTCATCGTTCATTTTTTTTTGTAGCTCTAAAAGTGATGACTTATTCTTTTGTCATTTTAATCGTATCCTGTAACAATTTTCTAAAACGAAATCAGTGTCCATATAGCTGACCCATACTTTGCTTCTCTATTTTCTTTTTCATTTTCATTTGGAATACACACAATTATCTTAACAATCATGTATCACAACGTTTCTTTTCCATTTTAGATATCTGTGGGTAGCAGACAAATAAAATGGCTTCAGTACCGAACCCTACTTTGTCAAAACCAAAATTTCTGAATTGGGTTAAGGCTGCATTGGCTGTTCTTTTCGCAAAAGAAGAAATCGGGCCTGTTGTTGTTGATGAAATCGTACAGTTCCAACAAAAGTGTCTTCAGGATATTTCTATATCAAATGGATTATCAGCGGGGAGCACCTGTTCAAACTGTAACACGGAAAATATTGTTGTTTGTCCAACAAATAAGATTTGCAACGTCAATCGAGGAAAATGTGGTTACCATAGGAACCGTGCAACACAGTTTCACTCCTATGGTTGCCCGAACAAAATTTGCCATAATATGAGATCTGAGATTAAAAATGCTCATCGTTTTTATGGTCCATCTTTTAAAAACACCGATGCAACTCAGTGGTGTAGTAATCCGTGGGAAATTGCGAAATGTTTTATGCCCCCCGATGGTTACAAGGATGTAATGAGTGCAGAAGATACCGATTTTAATGGTATAGTCAGTGTAATTGTTAACTTCAAAGCATTTGAGACAAAAATAAACAACGATCTCTCCAAAAGGAACAACATATTTGACAAGGTACCAATTTAAACACGTTTGTTTAATTTTTTGTATGTGTTTTTAAAGACACTTATATTTATATGAGTATTGAATAGAAACATGAATAAATAGGTAAACATATGGTGGCTGATTCGTGCAATTCGCGTATTAGATAAGAGAGGGCATGGGGCGAAGTTGTGTTATTAAACTTCGCCCCTGCGCCCCACTAATTGACGTATGATTTTGCCCCACGACCAGCCTAGCCAAAAGTCAAATATTTAAATGTTTAATTGATGTGGGCCATTAGTTATTACATTTCGCCCAGCTCCCTCGCTAGTTTGCGTGTTTATGCTTCGTGACCCCGCAATTTTATTTATTGAATATAGCTCCGCGCTCTCGGACGACGTTTTATTTATTAAATCGCACTTCTGCGTATAACCATGTCCAAGCTCCGCGACCCCGCCATTTTAACTTGTTTATTCTCGATATTTCGCATTGCGGGTTCGCTGGGCGAAAACATGAATTGCACATATCGACCACCATAAAACTTAGCATATAAGTTTTCAGTCATTTTGACATTATCATTTTTCACATTTTTCAGGGTAGAAACGTTGGTAAAGCTATTAGACATTCTCCAAAACTAGAGGTCGAGGATTCAGATCTTATACAGTATTTTACAATTCTAAATGATATATTGACTGATCCTGGATTCATAGCTTTAAATAAAGTACCAAACAACGCAATTCAGAAATTAGCAAAGGTATGGTTATTTGTTTGTGTTCGTTTATTTTCTTATCACAATATTGATAATGTAAACTAACTTTATGCTGCAAAGCTTGGACAGGAAATGACTGTTTTCCTAATTGACGATCTAATACAGTCTTTAGCTACATTATTTCCAACAATTTGTGCTCAATCTGTTATTAGGGCTTTGGCATTTTGGCAATTTTTGTTAAATGGAATTGGCCTTCAACACGTCATTTAAAATCATGTCAAGAAACTTTGTGCCAAAACAGCATATTGTATGTACTATGTACACAGAAAAAAGATTGACTTTATTTAAATCAGCACTCCTTTACAATTTCAGCTTCAAATGGATGAATTGATCATCGGTAAAGATGTTGTTCGCGCAGTCTTGGAAGATGTAGGCAAAGCTATCCAGGAACAAATAAGAAACGAGATGGATGAGTTCAAACAAAAGACTGATCAACAAAAAATAGAGCTTATTGAGATAATAAATTTGAAAGTAAAAGATATTGATGATGAGGGAAATATTTCACTGTCCAAGCTAAAAGATACATTCACGTCGTCAATTGATGCTTTTGAGGCCAAAGTACAAAAGGCTAGTCAAGAGATATATAAGCAGAAAACAAAGGGGAAAAGAAAGTTAAAAATTGTTGCTAAAGAGGAAGTTAAAAAATTAGGGAAGAGGGAGAAAATGTAATAAAAGAGATACAAAAAGTTGCGGAAAAACGTACGATATCTTATAGAATATTTACATTTGCATACACACTTTTGTTGAAGATTTCTTCTATCTATAGGCATATTTTAATCAGTTGCTTCTGTTGATTATAACAAATGATGAAAATCCATCCGATTTGTATTATTTTCGATGGCATTTAGAATAATCATGTATTGTGTAACATTGATATTCCAAGATTTCTCATATTTCAACATACAATACATATGACATTTTCAATTTTCAGCCAGGGGTATTGATGCTGATGCTAAGCTGTCGGAGGAAACATATCATAAACGAACAAAAGGTAATGAAATATTGTGATTATTATTAATTTATTTTAATAAATTGCTTTTTTCTCCCTTCTTGTTTATATCTCAAGCATGACATTTTACCTTGCTTATGAATATTTTGCAATTGCATGAACATAGACGTTATTGTTGCACAGCTTAGTTTCGCATTCCTCAACAACTGCGATGCATTTTAATATATGTTTACTTTGTGCATTGAATTGTTGTATATTCAGTCAAAGGTACAAAGACAAATGAAAAATATACAATTTCAGGGGCGATGTGTATTTTAAAGGAATATCAAATAATATATTTTCAAGAGAGATGGTTTGTTCACATTATTCCTGCACAATTTAATTACGAATTAACTTTTGAACGTCTCGTGATATCAACAATAACTGATAATTCTTACATGTCTGTTATTATGTCGCTATATACAAAGAAGTAAAATCTTATATTGTCAAGAAAACAGAAGCCTTTAAAGGAACAATTGTACAGTCCGTTCTTATACTATTTTATTTTCACGTGATGTTAAATTGAAATCTAGCATACACCTTAATACCACAAATTATTAGGGACAACAACAAAACAATATCATACTTTAACTAATTTTATTTTATAGTCATACATAGTGGCATATGTAATTTATCTCACTGAGTAATGTCTTAGTTTATCTTTTGGCATTTTATGGGCACGACTCCATTAATAAAAGCCAAAAGGTTTGGATACCGGGCATACAAAACCCTGTTAGGGCATCCATAGCAAAGCAAACAAATGACACAAAATCAAAACAAGCAAATGGAACAAACTGTATAGCTTTTTGGAACAGTATGTTCTAGAAAATAATTGATCAAAGCAATACTAGTCTTTCAATTCTTCATTCACAAAATAGTCAATTTTCACAAATGTATATGAGCAACAACACAGCATTGACACTGTTGCGCGAAATTGGTTCTGGGAAGCAGAAACCAGTATCGCCAGTATCACAAAATGTCTATTCGCCGGCCGCAAAATGCAAATTTAGCAGACACAACATGTGAAATATAGTATTTGAAAGCTAATAGAAAAAAAAAATATCGTTATTATGAATACTGACGATTACCGACGGGAAGTTTTACGTCAACTCGAAAACAACAGCTACTATGAAAAATGTACGGAAGATCCTACAGAAATTATTAAATGTAACATATCGGAATGCATTGATAAGATTAAAGAAACAAACGACTGTATTTCAGATGAATTTGATGTATTTCCAACGAACATACGTACACCGTGTTTTTATATCTTACCTAAAACACACAAATCTCCAGACTTCACACTGCCATTAAAGTATCCGGGTAGACCTATTGTGTCAGGATGTAACTCACCGACAGAAAATATTTCAAAGTATCTCGACTTTATACTTAAACCACATATGCTTAGATTGCCATCATATGTAAAAGACACCACAGATTCATCAACAAATTACGTAATATTAAACTACAAAGCAAAAACACATATTTGGTAACCACTAGATGTCTCTTCACTTTATACTAATATACCACATACGGATGGAACTGATGCGTGTTTGTATTATTAAGACAAGGAAATAATAACAGCAGACTTTCGTCAGATGAAATTGTTAAACTTTTGAAACTTATTCTTGAAAATAACTACTTCAAAGTTCGGGGATGACTATTTTCTTCAGAAAATGGGTACCGCTATGGGAAGCCCAGTCGCCCCCGCGTACGCAGCACTTTTTATGGGGAAATTCGAAGAGGAGTTTTTGAAAGATAGTCAGCTTAAACCGTCATTGTGGCTTCGTTTTCTAGACGATATTTTTATGCTTTGGGATCATTCTCTTGAAAGAACTTAACACATTTATTGACAAAATCAACAATGTTCACCCAAGCATTAAATTCACCCACACCATATCTCAACAATCTGTTTCGTTTCTTGATGTTCAAGTATCAAAAAGGAAAATCGTACGATTTTCAAACTAATGTTTATGTAAAGGAAACTAACAACCACCAATATCTTGATTATACATCCTGTCATCCAAAACGGTGTAAAGACGGAATACCCCACAGTCAGGCTAAGCGTTACAGGAGAATTATATCCGACGACGACGTGTTCTCTACTTCACTGAGCAAACTACGAGAATTCTTCATAAGTAGAAATTTCCCTGAGACGGTTATAGATTCAGCGTTTCTTCACGTGTCACAGATGTCACAAAGGATGCCTTACGGCCACAAGATAAAGAAAAGAAAAACGTTCTTCCATTTATTGTGAATATAATCCGTCCTTACCTAATATTGGAAATACTATTCATAAATATTGGGACCTACTAAATCTGTCAAAAAACGAAGGTGTTAAAAATATTCACAATAACTACACACCCATAATTGCCTATAAACGTCCAAGAAACTTACAAGACTTTTTAGTTAGATCTAGATTTGATACTGACAGTGACTTTACATCACATTCTGGAGGTTGTTGTAGAAAACGCTGTTCTCATTGTGTTCGTATTAATAGTGGTACGTCATTTTACAGTTCAAATACAGGAGAGATAATTTGACTTACGTCAACATACTAACTGTCAAACCAAGAATTGTATATATTTGATAACATGTAAAAATGTAGCATGCAGTATGTTGGTCAAACCAACAACCTGTGTCTAAAACGAATGAATAGCATAAATTTGATATATGCAATTTGTAGATCCTGCATTCTCCACTAATTGTTGCAAAATCATTTTAATAAGGGACGATCATAATTTTACCGACTTTTCATTTATGCCCATAAGATGTTGTTTACAATACTTTAGATCGTTTGTGCAAAGAAACATTTTGGATTCATAAGCTAAAAACTCATTTTCCAGAAGGAATGAACACAAAGTTGTTATACTCAATTAAATAATTCATAAAATATCAATCCACGCTACAAATGCTAGAATTACGCCACATAGATATTCCTTTTTTTCCTATTATCATTTTTTATAATTAAACCCTATAGGAAATATTCGTATTTATTAATCCGATATCTATTGTGTCGTTTTTATATTTTTATATTTTGATGCTTTGTTTGGTGCACTTATCTCTTTTATCATGAATTGGAATTGTTCGTATTTGTTCGTTTTTCCGCTAAAGTGGGCGTGACGTTAATTGTAAAATTACGACGTCACGTCCGTTGATATTATTATTATTTATTTACCTTGAAAAAGGCATACATTTGCCGAAACGTTGGAAAAATAAAAAATGATATTATACGTGTTATTGCTGTGACTTTATTATTTTAAAGCTAATAGAACACATCTCTGGAGTCGCACCGTTGTCGATTTCTCTCTGCTGGTGGTTTTGGCCCAAGCAGTTTTCCTAAAAGATACCTCTTCCGTGGTATTTAGTAGGGCTAGCTGTCTTGAAACACGTCGCTTATGTTGGCTAATCTGAAAACATACCAAAAGAGGACAGAAACAACAAAACAAGCATGACACTAGTATTAAATTTAAGCTCAAATCTTTGACACTTCACACTCATAATTGACGAGGAGGGCGGGTGGGTTTTTTCACAACAACTCATGTCTTCTTCCTTGTTACAATATTGTCGACGCCAGCGTTAAAAGGATATGACGTAGATACAGTACCTACGTCATACCAGGGCAGGGTATAAGTTGTTCCCCAAATAACAGAGACTATTCTATAGAAATAGTCATCATTATTAGGGACAACAAGAAAACAATATCATACTTTAACTAATTTTATTTTATAGTCATACATAGTGGCATATGTAATTTATCTCACTGAGTAATGTCTTAGTTTATCTTGGCATTTTATGGGCACGACTCCATTAATAAAAGCCAAAAGGTTTGGATACCGGGCATACAAAACCCTGTTAGGGCATCCATAGCAAAGCAAACAAATGACACAAAATCAAAACAAAAGCAAATGGAACAAACTGTAAATAGCTTTTTGGAACAGTATGTTCTAGAAAATAATTGATCAAAGCAATACTAGTCTTTCAATTCTTCATTCACAAAATAGTCAATTTTCACAAATGTATATGAGCAACAACACAGCATTGACACCTGTTGCGCGAAATTGGTTCTGGGAAGCAGAAACCAGTATCGCCAATATCACAAAATGTCTATTCGCCGGCCGCCACTAGACTTCGGATGGTGAACGGGAGATTTCCCGTTTTCCAGTCGAAGGCTCCGCCAATAACATACAATATTGGCTTCGCCAATATCATACTATTATTGGCTCCGCGAATTGAATACTTAAAAAAAAAAATTAGTCGTGCCCAGCCATTCTATGATTTATAATACAACCACTGCCATGTAGGTAATTCAACTTAGCAAATAAAGCAGCATTCCCAACAAATATGCATATTCTAGCGCTCATAAAATCAAATATGGCACTATCTGAAACACAATAATTTGGGTAGTAACCATCGACAAGATCTCGAGTTCAGTGCCATTTCTCTTGACATGAATTAAGCAAAAACATTCAAACTGCTCCAAATATGTGCTAGCTAAATGTATATACATTTGACAGTGCATGTTTTTCGAGATATCAATTTAGCAATAACGTTCAAACTGCTTCAAAATATGTGCTAGATACATGTATACAATAAGTGCATTCAATCAACTGAACTATAAATTATGCATCAACACATCAACTTTTCAAATATACCTTTCCTGAACCACTCTATGCCATAGGTGTTCGGCGCGCTGATCAGCCACCCACCCCACAACCCTCCCACCCCAAAACCATTTAAACTGCAGTATTTTTCATTTGAAACATGTTTATATATTTGGTATATGCTTTTAATTCAATTACCTTCATTTCCCACAAAAAATAAAAAATTGATTTATATATATACATATTTAGTAAAGGTATGCAACTCGCTGCACATTTTTCAGCACTCATCTTAATAATAATTGAACTCCATAACCCCAACGTTTTTTTCACCAATTTTCAATTTTATGGTTTCTGAAGGGTTGGAGGGCCGCAAAGTGGGCGAGGGTCCCCGGGGGCAGC